CGTAAGTACTTCATCAATCGGACCGATAAGAGGCAAACTACATTTCGCTATACGTGAGATCAAGAACTCGTTATGTTCCAACATTGTTTTGGTTGAGAACAACATCTTCGATTAACATTAGCATTTTAAATAAAAATTTAACGGTGGATTTATTTTATACATTGAAAATTGTAACTTTAAACTCCTCATTGGGGCGGGTTTTGGGCTCCCTGTCTGGTTTGTTTGTCTACGGTGGGGTCCACCTCCGTGAGGGCCCATGAAAGAATTTTGCTACCACACTGTTACTCCCAAAATAGGCTCTGTATTTCCCCATTATTTTTGGTAAATTCACAAATTCTATAAATTCCCAACCAAAACCAGCCACGGCATCTATATATATGTATATATACACACACAAACAAACAAACAAACAAATAGAAGAGAAATATCAGAAAAATGGAGGAAGCGACGCCGTGGGATTGGGCTGCCGTGATCGGAGCGGCAGTGGCCGGAGTTTGGGTGGTGGTGGTGGTGCAGAGGAGGAGAAGGAGGAGGAGGAGGACGGAGGAGGACGAGGGGATGGTTCCCCGGGGGAGCTCCGGCTGGCCGTTGATCGGCGAGACTTTGGACTTTATAGCCAGCGGTTACTCATCTCGCCCCGTCTCTTTCATGGACAAACGCAAGTCTCTGTAAGTAAATTATCATTCCCTTTTTTTTGACTTTTTGGAGGAGGAGTATATTTATGATTGATTTTTTAATTTTGTCCCTTGTTGTGAAGAGTAAAAGTTAGAGATGATAGTTAAGCTATTAGTGAAAAAAATATGATGTAATATAGAAAATGAAGAAGGAAGGGTAAAAGTGGTTTTCTAATAGAAAGTAGAAGTTTTTTAGAGAAATGAAAAAAATAAAAGATGAATGATTTATTGAAACGGAAGAAGTATTTTTAATTCAATTTCTTTGAAAATTATTGTAAAATCGAGTACTCCATAAAATTTATATATTTATAAACTACAACAAAAGTTTTACAAAATAAGAAGTAATAATACTACTCCCTCCGTTTGGAAAAACTCTTCCCATTTGATTTGGGGGCAAAAATAAAAAAGTGTTAAAGGAGTAGTTGATTTCTAATTTTGCCCCTGATGTGATGGGTAAAAGTAAGATATGATGGATAGATTATTAGAGAAAAAGTATGATGTGATAGGTAAGGTATTAAAAAGTAAGGGTTAAAGTGGTTTTTTAATAGAAAAGGGAAGTGTTTTCTTGGAAGTGGAAAAAATGAAAGAGGAAGTGTTTTTGAGAACGGATGGAGTATATTATTTCCTCAAATGGGTTTAAAAATGGGTAAAGAATATAATTAAATCTGGACTATGTAAACAAGTAATTTAGATTAAATTACGACGGAGGGAATACATTTTTTTTTTCAAAAATTGGTATCTCTTACTTTATTTAGAGATAGGGTGATCTTATGCCAAATATTTGGTGTAAGATTCTTACATCAATTCAATTCTTCATACTTCTATATATTTTTTCCATTTCATATCTATATTTTTTTTATTCCGTATAAAAAAAAGGTATAGACACGAAATGGGAAAAATTTATAGAAATAAAGAGGAAATGAAACGTGGCAATGTGTGTCTTCTTCTTCCCATTATTGCCGACAATGGCTTATGAAGAAACTTCCTCATTCATTTCATTTCGGTCATATCCATTTTAAACAAAATTATTCCCTCCGTATAATACTCCCTCCTTTTTGCTAAAAAAATCTTTCATTCTATTTTTTTTACGCACCTCATCTTAAATGTTCAAAAAAGCCTAACCATTACTTAGCTATTGTGGGTAGAAGTTATATATATATACTACCTCCGTCCCAGAGTATTTGTCCACTTTCATTTTTGCACACGATCCAATGCACTTCTTTAATCCATTTTATCTTGTAATTTGTATATTAAAAAATTATAAAAATTATATATTAATAATCTATATGTTAAGACAAATCAAACAAGATCACACATGACTATATTTAGGCTTACACATTAAGAGAATTTGATGAGTCAAAGTGCTTAGATGAACAGTTCCAAAAGTCAAAAGTGGACGAATATAGCGGGACGGAGGGAGTATATTTTTTTTTTTGGATATTTTAGACATTTTAGATGCGGTAGAAGTGTTCGATGGTGTGAAGACGTTAGGGCAGAAGAGTTTTGTGATACAGAGAAAGACTTTCTTTCGAGTTATAATTTGACACGTCTTTTAATATTTGATAAAATATAGTCTACTTGAATATAGTCTACACGTCTTTTGAGTTATGGTTCAATGACTATTCAAATCGTTTTTAATAATGTCTTATTCTACTTGAATTATGTATTTAGTCATTTGTCTTAAAGACAAAACATTTTAGAACTTTTAGAATAGATATGAGTGATTCTATTTAAAAAAAGTGATATGTTTAAGTTCCATTTGCATAAATTACCTCATTAATAATAGTGTCAAATTAAACATTGTTTTTAACATATTTTGTAAAAGTATTGATACAATTAAATTTTTCATATATAATTTCTTTAATTCTACAATAAATTAAAAATAAATTAAATTAAAGAAAAGAATATATTCAGTCAAACAGTCGAGGGTAAAAGGGTTCAAAAAATTCACTTTTTTTTCCTACTTCCCATTGGGGTCCACCTAAAGAGGGTAAAATACCATACATTGGAAAGGGGAGAAAATGGAACAAGTGAAATTCAACCTGTATGGCACAAAATTGGACTTTTAGGTTATGAACAGAGAAATAAAATTAAAAAAAGAAAAAGAAAAATGACTTCTGTTTCTAGTGATAATGAAACCATCTTAATTTCTTATTTACACCTCTTAACTTATGAGAGTAGGATCATTCAATTCCTTTGGTACAAGAGGGATTTTTTTAGCTCAAAAAAACAAAAAAAATAGACATAATTTCTTTTTTAGCTCAAAAGTCCTTACACTAACAAGATGAGAAAATTAATGTAAAAATCATGAAGTTTCAACGCAAAATCAATTCAATGTTGAAAGAATAATTCATGCGTTTTCGTTTCGTTTTACAATGCTCAACTAAATTTATTTTCATGTCTATTAATTGTAAAATTGGTCTGGATTTAAAAATAAGATTTATACTGGAATAATATATATTTAAAAAAAATATCAAAAATTATACCAAACTAGAATTGAAATTATGTATTAATGTATGTTGGTATATGATTGATTATTAATTAGGCACGGGGAAGTGTTCAAGACACACTTATTGGGGAAACCGGTCATCGTATCGACCGACCCGGAGGTGAACCGAGCCATACTCCTGAACCCGGCCAACGCCTTCGTCCCGTCTTACCCCAAATCTGTCACCGACTTGTTTGGCGCCAACTCGATCCTCCAAATGACCGGTTCGCTCCACAAGAGACTTCACGCCGCCGTCGGAGGCTACCTTAAATCGCCGCCTAACAAAGCCAGATTTGCCGCCGACGTGGAGCGCACCGTCCGCCGCTCGCTGTCGTCCTGGGCAGAGGAACACCGCAACTTCGTCTACGTCCAGGACCATGCCAAACAGGTCTCTATCTACTCTTTTAATTTATAGAAATTACCCTAAATAGGACTAAAACATAGACAAAAAGTACCAAAATATGACTTTTGTATTTTTTTTCCAAAATAAGATTTCACACTGTACGTGGTAATGTGACACTATATATACATGTACACATTACTATACTTTTTGGTGATATACATGACAATGTTTGGTAATGTAAATGTATTTTACGTTCTATTTCGAAAATAAAAACTGAACGTACAAAATAAAGTACATTTCATGGGATAACACTATCATTAACCTTTTAAAAATGTTAGGGTACACCAAGTTGTATCTCAAATTATACACGACTCTCCTCACAACACATTTCTTATCCCAGATCCAAAAATTTATTGATGTTTTTTTTAAAAAATGTAATATTTGATGGGGAAGAAAGATTGCATTCGAAGTATTGGTGAAAGTGCTGATGAGTGTGGAGCCCGGCGAAGATTTGGATTTCATGAGGGCACAGTTTGAAGAATTCATGAAGGGCTTGGTTTGTATTCCCATTAATCTCCCTGGCACAACCTTGTACAAATCCCTCAAGGTAACTTTTATTTTTACCCTTAAAAAGAAAAAAAAACGATGATTTAGTTCAACTCAAAATCGCGTTAACACGTTATTTTTTTATTATTTTTTTAATATAAGTCCAATTGACAATGAGAATAGTAATTAAATAACTCAGGCCAAGGGGAAGTTGTTGAAACTAGTGGAGAAGATGGTGGAGGAAAGGAAAGTGATGGTTGGCTTGGAGGAGAAGGGTTCGGCGCCGCCTGCGGACGCGATCGATTTGTTGTTGCGGGACGCAGCGGGGGAGGAGTCGGACGGGACGGACCGACGGCTGCTGCCACCGGAATTCATCCCCTCTAACCTAATAGAGATGATGATTCCGGGGGTGGAGACAATGCCGACGGCCATGACTCTTGTTGTCAAATTCTTAAGTGACAACCCTCTTGCACTTGCTCAATTGCGGGTACGTTATACGTACGTAGTACTTCGCATTTATTTTAGTCTCGCTTATTTAAAAAAAACTCTTTTTTGAAATAATCAAGGAGCGTGAAAAAAATATTGCTTAATTTTGTTTGCAAAATTGATGGCTTTTACACTTCATTACTTCTAAACTCAGCCCCCTTCTAGCGGGAGATGTAGGAAAATAATTATACTCTCGTCCAACAATAAATTTCTCAGTTACTATTACGAGCTTTCGATAACTTATGTTTATTCGCAAAATTTTATCAATCATTTGATAAGATAAGGTATTTTTGTCATATTTTGTTTTATAGAACTTTGATGTAGTTATGAATAATGTCATTTTACTTTTTTATGATATACGAGTTTATGAATAAAAGAATTTTTAAAAAGATAAAATTTTACACATTGTTTAAAATGAAAAGTTTATTGTTGGGCAGGAAGAGGATTACGGATGTACGATATTTCTCGTATATCCGCATGAATACTCATTGTCGAGTAATTAAGTACTCATTTTCGAGTAATCAAATGCTCATTTTCGAGCATAACTAAATTTTAAACAAATAAGTACTCAGTTACTTGAGAATGAGTATTTACTTGCTCGAAAATGAATATTTAATTACTCGTAAATGAACATTCATTCAACCGGTTGTATGACATATATATTGTGGATTATATAATCGGTTGTATGACATATATATTATGGATTATATTTGGCGTAAATTCTATAATTGGTCCTTTATAACAGGGAGGTTTCCCTATTTAGTCATCTATTATCAAATATTACCTCAGTGGTCCTTTTTTTATGGGTACCTTTCCACAAATAGTTCTTTTTTATCTTGTATCATGTTGGTGTTAATTTGAGAGCTAAAAGTGTAATTTCACAATGATAATATATCTTTTATTGTCATACACAATTCCAAAGGCTGTTCCGTTTGCGTCGTTTGTGAATTATAGTCGCTTTTTACGACAACGATAGTCATTATTTTTTTGTTATCCGCTTAACCAATATCAGAACACGTCACTAGACATAATGTTGATATCAAATTATACTTTTAGCCTTTAAATTAACACCAACACGGCAGAAGATCAAAAAAAGGACACTTGTGGAAAGGTGCCCTTAAAAAAGGGCTATGGGGGTAATATTTGATAATAAAAAACTAAATTTGGAAACCCCTGTTATAAAGGATCAATTTTGGAATTACTCTTATATTTGGGACAAAGAAGTGAAGAAGGATGTACTCCGTAGTAGCGTATACCAGGTAAAAAAAAGTAGGGGGAAATGAAATGGGGTAGATTCCCACGGGGGGTAAAAAAAAGGTGTGTGGGGGGGGGGGGGG